CCAGCAGGGCCCTGCACCCCTGGCAGTCCTGGCTTGCCCTAAAACACACTAGGGTCACCCCAAGGGCTGATGCCACTGGGCACTGTGCCCACAGTGGGGACACTCACAGGTCTGCCTGGCTGCCCGATGCCCGGGGGGCCCTGGTCCCCTTTGGCCCCAGGTTTTCCAGGGATGCCAACCACGTCCGAGAGGTCTCCGAGTGGAGTGGGAATGGGCTCACAGGCGTCTCCCTGCAGAGGAGGGGATGGCAGAGGGATGGAGGGGTGGGTGGCACCATGGGGATGGGGTGCAGGTCCTCAAACAAGGTGGGGGTCTCACCTTCTCGCCCTTGGGGCCAGCAGGACCCCTGATGCCAGGCTCACCTGACAGCCCTGGGACACCAGCCGTGCCCGGTGTTCCCGGATCCCCAGGGCTGCCAGCATCCCCCTGGGCAAAGAGAGGAGACAAGGCTGGCATGGGGCAAGGGGGACATGGCACACGAGGGTCACAGCCCCCTCTGCCATCACCAATCCCACCAGGATCCTCTCCCAGCCCCTCTCACCTTCTGTCCCTTCTGTCCAGCGACACCAGGTCTGCCCTGGGGAAATGGAAGAATGGATCAGGTTGGAGCATCCCTCCCCAAAACAGGCAGTGTGGGCATGGGGGGCACTCACCACTCTGCCCGGGGTACCATCCTGGCCCCTCTCTCCTGGTGGTCCTGGCACAGCCACCACTGTCGCTGCCCCTTCGAGGGCCTGTGGGGTGGGAGGGCACTGCCCACACGGCTCACCCTGTGGAGGGACATCCCAGTTGGAATGTGGCTTTGGGGACTGGAGCACTCTGCCCTCCCTGCTCTGCTCATCTCAGGGCTGTCCCATGCCATGCAATGAGCTGGGGAGGAGACAGGGCATGGAGAGGGGTCTTCACTGCAGGGCTCACCTTCTCTCCTTTGAGCCCTCTCACACCTGGATCTCCTTTTTCTCCTGGGAGTCCCTGCATGGATAAGTCAAGGGATGAGCCCCAGAGGTGAGATCATGGTCCCCAACACCCCCTGGGCTCCCAACACCCACCCTGAGCACCCCCACTCACCGGTCTGCCTGTGGGTCCCAGCTGGCCACCATCCCCCTGCAATGGAGCAGGATCAGGGTCACCAGGGCTGATCCAGACATTCCCACTCCCTCCAGCCATGCAGAAATGGGTGTGGGGGTCACTCACCTTCTCTCCCTTGATCCCAGCCAGCCCAGGGAGCCCC